TCAGCCCGACTTGCCTGATGCAACCTGGAAGGGTTTGCCATGGAAGGTTGTTGCAATCCGTGCTGTCCAAGGACACAACCGTGCCGTCGTGGAGAATGCCAAGATCTCCTCGCTGGTGAAGCAAGTGTTTACTTTGGACCCAACCTTTACCAAGGAAGACCTCGACACTCCCAAGTTGCCCAGGACAAACCTTCGGCCAGATTTGGTGCCCGAGATGTTGGCTGCTCTTCCAAGGGTCATCTACCATAGCTGTGACCGTCTCGCTATGGAGAAGATTGTTGAGCATGGGTTGATCCCAGGTGGCTGGCCTCAGAGGACGGGAAGGACGCACAATTTCTTCATTGCGTCGCACCCGTGGGACGACTCAGTCGGGGGAAAGAAGCTGGCGGGAACGCGAGCCGGAAAGCACTACTACATTGCCTTTGACACCGAGCTCATCGTCCAAAGCGGCTGTCGATTGTTTCGCACTGACGAAGCGATCATCAGCCCCGACTGGGTGTCCAATGAGAATATCATATGCACATATGATTCCATCAACCGCGAGTTCGCCTGGGTCAACCGCCCCTATGAAGTTACTCGTGTCGGCTACAACGCCAAGATGAAGGACCATCGCGACAAGGACACGCCGAGAAGAGAGGCCCTGTCGACAAGCCCATACGCCAAGGCGCGGGCCAGCTTGAAGTCGTACCTCATGAGCGGCAAGTCCATCCATCCCGGTGAGATGCAGATCACGGACTCTCCAGAAGAGCTTCCTCCACTTCTTCGTCGACGAGAAGGAACTTCAGGACCATTTGAGGACAAGTTGACGTTGAAGATGGCGTCCTTTGGTGCCTTGTCAAATGCAGAGACCATTCGCAAAGGCAAGGGCCGAGGAAAGGGCAAAGGGAAAGGAAGCCGCCCGGGAGGGCAGGCCCAGCGCTCAACCAATGCTGAAGATTATTTCTACAGCACCAAAATTGAGATGCAACAGGTCAGATGCCACTTCTGCGGCGAGAGGAACATCGAAGGCACTCACAAGTGTCAGTCGTGCTTCAAATGGCTGATTGCTTGGTCGGATGGGAGGATTGCGACAGAGGTATGCCGGATGGAAATCACGGCCAAGAAAACCAACAAGGTGTTTTCTCTGGACAAAATCGATTTTGAGAAACAGCCTCGAGCTCAGCGAGTGTCGGACCGCACACGAGCAGACCAACGTCGAGCTGGACGAAGTAACTTCGGAAACCTCAAGGACGCTGCTCAGACCCATGCGGGAAGATACACAAAGCTCGGGTTCAAATCGATCCAGGACCGCATGGAGAAGGATCCATTTTATCTTTTCAACAACGCGGTCGGCCAGATCACTCCTGATTGTTGCCAGTTTTTGGAGGACTTGGCAAAATGCATTGCCCCTGATGTCGGCCGTACCCGGGAGAAGCGAGAAAAGCAGCTGGGAATAGGTGTCAGTACTCGATTGATTTTTATGCCAGACTTCAACAGAGACATCCGTCTCCCGCTGGACGTCACGAAGGAAGCAATGGTGGCTCATCATGCTCGAGTATTTACTCTTCCTCAATTTGCTGTTCTTGCTGCGGACTTGCTGAAAGCGAGGGGGGAACCCGCGCCGATGTTGTTTGGATGGTCAGGTTCAATGATGCCTGTTGATCAACAATCTGCTCAGGACTGCTTCTTCGACTTGGTCGACTTTGCAAGACGTCAATGGAATGAGCAGTTTCACAACATCAAGGGCGAGGAGCACTCCCTGGTGGAAGAAGCCACGGCATCTGATGTGGCTGAGTTCCCATTGGCAAGGTCCACAAAAACGGGTACTGGCGAAGGACGAGAGGGGTACCGGCGTCATTTTGACCCGATCCAGAAGCCAGCCAAAGGCAAGGGCAAGGGCTTTGGGCAACAGCAACGTCCAATCTTTCAGCAGGCCATTGAATGCTGGAAGTGCGGTCAGTATGGCCACAAATCCTTTGAATGTCGCAGTGGATGGAAACGGAGGCAGGGATGGGACTCCCATGGGTCTTACTCAAGCCGTCCGGGAGGGCAGGCCTATTCGCAAAGTTGGGATTGGAGGCGTGGATATCAGGGCCAAGGATGGTCGGCAGATGACTGGGGACGCTCTACAGCTTCAAGTTCCTCGGATCACCATCTGAGCTTTCGCGACCCCCATCGACACCGGCACCAATGCCTGATCCAGCATCCACCGCTGCAGATGCCCCAGCCGCTGAGGCTACTGGCACGACAGAGGGCAGTCGACAGGTTCCCATGAGGTCGCCCATCATCTCTGAGGAGTACTGCGAGATCAATGGGCAGCCGCACTACAAGCGAACATTGGCTGACGGAACGGTAGAGTATGAATCTTGGTAGGTGTCTTATGTGCCATGAATTTTATGCCTGCCGGAAGGTTGGCCGATTGGATGAAGTCTGACCCATGGTCATTCAGTTCAATCGAATTGCACACCTTTCCAAACTTGAAATTCCAACTTGATTAACTTGAAAAACTTTCCCAATTGATTCAAAAGAGTTTGACACCAACATCCGATCCAATGCAGTAGATTGCGTGTATATAGCCGTGTACATTAGCCTGCTACAGTAGCTTCTAAGTTTCCAGGGCAATAAAGGAGTGGTAATGCTCCTATGCCTTGGCGGAAGCCAGGCCGATGTCACTTTTGCTTTGTCTTACACGTGCATTGCCAGGGATCGCAAAACATCCGAAGTTGACCCTTTTGCCTCATGCATCCGATGAGCATAGACCGAAGCAACACCGGTAGAGTAATTAGGTTGCCAGTGATGATCTTCCGCCTGCTCTCAGGTCACTTCTGGCAGGCGTGCACACTCCGCTCTCCGTGAAACTGCGGGGCGGCGGGGGGTGTTATTTATAGGTCTCGCTGTACATACATTGTATATTACTCTAATACCTGTGCTGTTATGGCTCAAGAAAACAAGTGTGCTAATTGTGATGCTTCGTGGTTGGTACACCTGTCAAACAGTACACATATTAATTTAATTCCGGAGTGAGTCTGGGGACTCGAAATGGGCCAATAAATGCCAATAACAGGAACTGATTAGTCCATAGCAAGCCTCCATCGAGCTCTGAATCAGTGCATTTTGGAGACATTTCCTTTGGGCTTTTGATGGACGATATGCAGAGTCCAGCTGGATGGTTTTATCAGTTTGATCCCGCCAGGATTTGTTTGAGCCTATTATCAAGGTCTTCGGACGGGAGGCCACCACTTGCTTGCTGGGATCCGATGGTTTTTGATGGTTTTTGGTCATCTTCTGCATGAAGATTGCCATTTTCTGCCATTTTGAGGTGTGCCTCATTTTGGGTAAACCCATATTTGCTTGTGGTAAGAGTGACTTTACGGTTTAAGTACTTCATGATGTGTGAGTGAAGATTTCTGCAGGTGACTGAGGATGACTGCAAGGGGACCGAACTGTAACTGGGGTTTCTTGAAAGTGGTGTTGACGCATTCAAGCTTGCACAGGCCAGTGTTTTGCTATAATCTAGAATTAACATGAATTAACTCTCTTTGATACATCGCTACTGTTTTCTCTTTCGTTTCTATACAAACAGGCACATCTCAACTATCTCAACCATATACTTTATATTCCTTTTTGGTATCGGTACTTGTTTTGTGTTGTATTGAGACATATGGATATATATATATATATATGAATCTTTGAATCTATGAATCTATCAATGTATCTATCAATCTATCCATCTATCTATTTGTTTGTCTACCTATCTTTCTATTTCTATCTATCTATATCTATCTAAACCTATCTATACCTCTCTATATCTATATATATATACATCTATATCTATCTATATAGTTTATATCCATCTATATCCATCTATATCCATCTATATCTATCTATATCTACCTATATCTATCTATATCCCTATCTATACCTGTATCTATAGCTATAGCTATATCTATATCTATATCTAAATCGATCTATTGATCTATCGATCTATCGATCTATCTACCTATCTACCTATCTACTTGTCTGCCTATCTGCCTATTTGCCTATCTACCTATCTTCCTATCTACCTGTGTACCTACCTGCCTACCTACCTAGGTTTTCGAAGGGAGTCGAAGATTAGGCTGCACTGTGGTCGAATACGCCGCAGTGTTTGGCTCAAACTAGCTAAACCCGTGATGCCTGGTGGTGGCCCTCTCTGCAACCGGTGCAGGAGTGGCCTACCATCGGACGGGGATACCTGGTGCCAGCTGTGCTCGTGCGCATCTGCGCTGGGCGAGGCTGGCAAATACAGGTTCCAGTCCTTGGCTCACAGGGCGTTAGCTGAAGAAATCGCTTTTCAAGCATCTCGCCAGGTTCAGGCACTGGTTCAACTTGATCGTCAAGTTCATTCAGAAAGAACCTCACTCAGTGATCGCCTGGCGAACACCAAGGCCCGGCTGGAGGAGGTTACAAATCAGGTCAATCGCTCGGCAGTCCCAAAAAGCGGGGGAGCCCGCCCTCCGGCCCCAAGGTCGGAGCCTCCACCAGTAAAGGCAGAGTCGGGCGCCGCTGGTGCTGACTCGAAGCCGGCTGGTGAGGAAGTGGACTTCGGGAGCGAGAGCTTCGAGGAGGAAGCCGAGGAAGAAGTTGCGGCCGACGAGGACCCATCGCTGGCCCACGGGGCGCAGGAAGGCGCGAGCGCCAGTGCGCCGGCTCGTGAGCCGCGTTCGCCTTCGAGACCTCCGCTGCCCAGGCAGCCACCCAAGAAGCGTAAGAGGTCCCGCAGCCGGGGAAGGCGCGGCGGCCGAAAGCACTCCCAACAATACCGGGCCCTGCAAAACCTTGATTTGAGGTTCCATCGGCCCCAGAAAATTGAACCCATTGACTTGGGTGGCGACCATCGGAAGCGTCGTCCCCAAAACTGGAAATGAGACGGCGGAGAAACGTTCCGGGTGACACGTCACCATGGGACATCGACCCACTGGCGGGAGGCCCCGAGCGTCAGCGCTGGGGACCGACCCGGGGGTCATGATGCGGGTCGGGGGATGGTTATTCAAGCAAGACTTCCTACCGACCCCCAGTTTTGGAAAGATTGCCCCTTGGAAAAGGGCTGTATCATAGAATTTCCCTTGGAGAAGCCGGACGAAGAGGAAGCGGTGCAGAGCGAGGTCAGCATGCTGGTGGAGGAAGTGGAGGAAGATGGCAGTGGATTGTGGCTGAAGGTTCGTCACCTGGGCAGCGCAGCCTTGTGGGCGCGCGAGATGGCTATCAGGCTGTTCTCAAGAGAAAGGAGACAGATTCATGTGTGCCGGGAAGGTTGTGCAGTATGCAGCATGGCTGACGACCCAAGGTCCTTCCACTTGGACGAGCTGGCCATTTTTCCCGTGGGCATGGAACCGCCAGATTACGTGGAAAGAGGAAAACGAAAAGAGTGGAAGAAGCGCTATGAGGAGATTGTGAAGGAGGCTGCGGAAGTTGGCGGGCGCGGGGGCGCCATGGCTTCCACTCCGGCGTTCCCGCCGGCGGCCCCGGACCGAATCTCAGCCTTGAGGTCCCGGCTGCAAGCACGGACAAGGAGCGGAGCTGGAGCAGTTCACGGGCGAGGTATCGTTCCTCCAGCCCCCCCACTAGCGCTGGCGGATGCCGCCCGGGGCGCTCGGGCGGTCAAGACCGAGCCGGTGGGAGGTTCACAGCTCAGACTCCGGACGGCCGCGGAGGTCACGCTCGATGCGGCCCGCGCTGGCAAGAGCCGTGACGCAGATGGACCAGGAGGTACACGAGGGGGAGCGGCCAGCGACGGAGGCAGAGGAGGTCCAAGAGCCGCTCGAGGCGACATCGGTCCCGCCGTTCCATGGACGTCGACGGGACAGTCGGAGCCGAAGCGACTCGCGGGACTCAACAAGCGGATCATCATCAGACAGTCTGGTGCCGCCCCTGCAAAAGAAGGCAGCGAGGGAACCCGGTTCCGTGCTAAGAATGCTGCTCTCACGAATGTTCGGGGAAGCTCTAGCCGAAGCCGCCGTGCCAGAAGGCCGCCTATAGAGAGCGAGCTGGCTGGCGGCAACAAGCTGTCGAGCTATTTCCAAATTGTCGCCAAGCCGCAGATACCAGGCAAGGTGAGGGATGCGAGAGAGCTGGAGACTCTCGCCAGATGTGTGGATCTGCTGAAAGCCGGGCGCCTTCCGGAACTGGGCGATGCGCTGGCGGGCAGATTTCTGGCGGTGGAAAGCGCGGCCCTTACAAACAACTGGCACGACGCGCAGCACTTGGAGGTGGTGCCATCGCGTCACAACGGGCTTGCAGGCCCCGCCGTGCTCCTTCAAGCCCAGCGGCACGCGCGCCAGGTAGAGAAAGCTGCCGGGCGCGGGGGCTGGAGGAGGATGAATACGGGCGGCGGCGGCGGCGGCTACACCCAGCCGAGTGGACCCGCTCGAGCAGACGAAAAAGGCGGGGGCGGAGCAGGTCAAGGAAAAGGTCGAGGAAAAGGCAAAGGAAAGGGCCGGAAGGGCGCTTGGAGAGCACCGCATCCGAAAAGCCCAGGGAACGATGCCGGCCAGGAGGCGACGGCCGCAGGAGAGAAGTGAGTCCAGAGGCCAATGCCCCGCGCGCAGGTGTCGCTGGGGAAGATGAGCCAAATTCAGAATTTTGGGCAAGATTTGAAGCCCCTATACAGGCCTTCGATCGGGATAACCCGGAGGTCGAAGACGTCAGTTGGGTGCCAGTGGAATCTGGCCCCTATCAAGTGGCCTCTGTGAGGCCACCAGGTGAAAGCGTTGGGAATTCAACCCGAGCGCTCTTTTGCTAATTCAAAGGTGGCGACCTTTGCTGACCCCGGCAAATTGGGAGTAGCGCTGGCTGAGGGGATGGTCCACGGCAATGTACCATGGGGCATGAACAGTTTGCTCAATCATGTCAAGCACACCGCATCCCAAGATGCTTTTTTCAGAGGTCGTGGACTGTTCCCGCTGCCAGTGGACTGGAGCCTTGGAGGAAGGACGGGAGATGCTCGTTTCCCTCAAGGGGTACAGGCGTGGCTCGCACTGACTTGCCATGCACTCAATGCGTTGGCCGGGGTCAAAAAGAAAGCACCGCTTGTGCGGCAAGGGGCTCAGGTTTCTCGTGTCCTGGAAACCCTTAAGTCTAGAATCTCTAGGTTTTTGTCCCTTTTTAAGCCTGAGGTTGTTTCCCCCCTTGATGTTTGGAATGATGTTTTGGCTAAAAAGAATTTCTTACGATGGTGAGGAGTTTGTTGACCCGGTCCCCTTAACCTTAGAGCAGATTTTTCAGAGCCTGCCTCCACTTGGTCATGGGGGTTCAGTTGAGCTTGAGCCGCTGCTGGTTGGTCATGCTAAGCACTTAATACGACATCCAGAAAAGATTCTTCTAGATGAAGCCCTGAAGGAACCTGGCCCCAACAAGGCGCGGGTGCATATCACCCCCGGGGAAGAGCTGGGTATTTGGCACCTCCTGCACGAGCGGGAGATAGTTGAGTGGATCAAACTGGATGCTGTATATTCCGACGGGGGAGGCCCCTACCTTTCTGGAATGTTTGGGGTGCCCAAGGCTGGGCGTTGTACTAGCGCGGGAAACCCGCTGCTCAGGGTGATCATGAATCTCAAGCCAATAAACCGGGCGCTAGAAATCATTCGTGGAGATATCAGCGAGCTCCCCATGGCAACCATGTGGGGACAGCTGATCTTGGAAGAAGATGAAACTATCTATTGTAGCCAAGCCGATACCCGATAGATCCAATCCGACTAAATACTCTTTACTCCTTTTTACTTCCCGACTAAAGAGTAAATGTACATTTACTCCCTGGAGGGAGTAAACGTACATTTACGTAAATATGCATTTAGTCCGGTGGCCATAGTGCAAACTGCACCGTGAGCGGTGCAGTTTGCACTATGTAGTTTTCATGTGTCAAGATGGCGCGGTGCAGTTTGCACCCGGCGCGGTGCAAACTGCACCGCTTCATTTTTGAGGCTTCTAAATTTTATGTTGTTTTGTGTATGTTGTGGGGTGGTTTTGCGTTGTTTGTGATGACTTTTTTCGTCGTTTGCATACCGTTGCCCAAATGTACATATGCTATTTTTGTTTGTGTTTTGTGGTTTGTTTGGGTGTGTTTGTGTGTTTGTTGTTTCTGTTTGTTATTGTTTATTTTGCGTTCCGTGTTTACTTTTGTTTCTTTGTGCTTGGTTGTTTGTTGTTTTTTGCTCTCTTTTTTTTCAAACCATAGGTCTGGGTGAGACCCGTTGGCACCACTACAGCAGCTGTTCGTCCTATAGGTGAAAATGACTGTCAAAAAGGATCTTCTCGGTTGAGAGCCCATGTTTTTATTTGTTCACGGTGTTTCCCCGTTCTGTATTTCAAATGCTATATTGTGAAATTTTCTGCGCCAGCAATCTTTCATTGTTTCATACGTCCACGCCGCTCTAGGGCGACCCGCCCTTCTGTGTTCAACTTGTTGTGGCAAAAGATTTCTTGTAGCGAAAGTGGCTTGGTGTTGTGGGTGATCTCTTGGTCTTCTGATTATATGCCCCAATAATTTTAGTCGTTTTTCCATCACTTAATGGACGGATGATTTCCTCTGCGCCTAGGCCCATTTCCAAATTAGCGCGTCTGTAGACTTCATGGTTGGTATTTGCTCGGTCGATGTAGGTTGTTGACATTTCCAAAAATTTTCTGAGACCTTTTAGTTAGAAAGTATCCAGTTTACTTGCTGCGGTTTCTGTTGGTTGCAGTGCTTCCAGGCTGTACAAGAGTTTGGAAACACAAACTGCGTTAAATACTTGAATTTTCCATTTGGTTGGCACCCGCGCTTGTTTCCAGAACAAGTCAAATCTTTTCAGTATCGGCATTGTGCTCGAGATGCGTCGATTGATTTCAATCTTAGGGTTCACCTTTTTACTGATCCGCGTTCCCAAATAGATAGTTTCGTCCACACTTTTCAACTCTTTCCCATCTGCGAATGTTATTTGATTGTTTCTGTTGTAAGTGATGCATACGCATTTGTCTCTGTTTAGTTTTATGTTGTAGTATTATTTGATGCTTCTTCGATGTATCTCAGGTAATCTTTTGCAGTTTGGGTGTTTTTGGCAATGACTAGAATGTCGTCTGCGTACAAAAGTTTTTGAAACTTCATGTTATTGACAGTTTTCTGGAAAAACGCATCGTTGTTCTTGCGCCTCACATCGAAGAACAGGACGCTCATCATTAAATTGAATAAACAAAAGCGATAGCGGACATCCCTGCCGTATGCCAGAATGCTGTTTTTTTCCATTTGCTTTCTTCAGTATTATGGATTGTTTTGAAGAACGGATGCTCATACAAAGCCTTAATGTTGTTGATCATTTGGGCGTTAATCTTCATTCGTTCCAGTGCTTCAAATAACCTTTGGTGTGATATTCTGTCAAAAGCCTTTTCCCAATCTAAGAAAATCATATAATATGATGTTCTGGTGCCCGGCTTCTGCTGGGTCTTGTAATCGGCGCAGGCAGAATAGAGGTTCTGAAGTACTTTTGCCCCTCCTGAATCCAAATTGTGTGTCACTTACAAACTGATCAGTGGCGTCTGCAATTCTTTTCTGTAAAAAATTGGTCAAAATGTTGTATGATGAGTTCAGCAAAAGAATAGGGCGGTAGTGTTCGGGGAGCTCTGGGTTGCCTTTTTTATACATAGAAGCAACTTCTGCGTAGGCAAAATCATCAGGGTACGACTCTTCAGTCCACATTTGGTTCAGGATTCTCGCCAGCAACCTCTGGTTGTCTTCGTCTAGATATTTGTACAAGTCGATGGTTGTCTTGACTGTATGTCTTTTGCTGCACACAAGCTTCCCAACTCTTTTCTTCAAAAAAAGGTGTGAACATTGACATTTGTAAGAAAAATATGTGGCATTTTTGCGAAAAATATTGAATTTTTAAGAAAAAAACATGTTTTTTGCAAAATGTCATATTCCACTTTTGGTGCAAACTGCACCATTCATAGTGCAAACTGCACTTTGCCATAGTGCGCTTTTGGTGCAGTTTGCGCTAAGAATAGTGCAAACTGCACTATGCGTGGTGCAGTTTCAAGTTTATAGTGCAGTTTGCACTCTTCTTAGTGCAAACTGCACCAAAAGTGCACTATGGCATAGTGCAGTTTGCACTATGAACGGTGCAGTTTGCACCAAAAGTGCACTATGGTCATAGTGCAGTTTGCACTACAAATGGTGCAATTTGCACCAAAAGTGCACCAGTTTTTTTTGGCATATATGTTTTTTTCATTCTTGAAACCAAAAAATAGTGCACAAATGAATTGTGAGCAAGCATGATAGTTCTTTTGGGCTGTGTGTCTGGCTGAGTGCGGCATGAGCTCCATCCTTTTTCGAAATGCACACAGCAAGAACAAAATGTATATGTGACATGAACAGAGCAAGAACAAGATTGCACTTGAAACTCACAAAGCAAGAACAAGAAGGTAAGACTTCGCTTCAGAACCTTCAGAAACTGTTTTGTTCGATTGCGAACACCCACTCAAGGAAAAAATGTTTCAGTTCTATCTTTTGGACCTTGGACGGCCTGTGATGCACAGGATTTCACACAAAAGGAAGTCTTGCTGTTTGCGATCTTTGTGCTCTGTGTGTTCCTCCTTTCTGCAGTTGACGTGTTCTTGACCACAACTGCTCATTCACAACTTCACACCCACAGTTGTGGACATGATTTTGGTGCTAGATGCACATGCTCTTGCTCGATCGAATGTTCCTGCTTTGCAAAAAGGTGTTCGTGCAATGTGCGGCAATCAGAATTTCATACAATCCAGAGATCCCCAACCTGAGAAAACGCAAGAACCATACATTTTTCCTTAAAACATCAATATGTATAATTATACGTTATACATGTTCTTCCAGCGCATGTGGTTCCTTGATGATGCACAGTATATTTAAAGCTTTCTGGTTTGTTGTATGAAGGCCCCCAAAAGATAACACGTTGGAAACTTGAAAGTTTCAGGGTGGACATCTTATGTATATATATAAAAACAATATTGGAAATTGCTTTCGGTTTTTTGATGCTTACCACATGTACACAAAAAAATATTGGGCACAGGAACAACCAATTTTGTGCGGGTTTCAGATCTATGATCTGAGGTTTGTCTGTTGTTTATGACTGTGGAAAACGAAACGAAACATATATATATATATATGATGTTCATGCGTTTTGTGAAATTGAAATTTACAGGCGAAGATGTCTGAAATCTAGTGACGCAGATGTCTGAAATTTTGGGTTAAAGATTCTGAAAAGTAGGGTTAAAGGTGTGAGTTGTCACTGTGCATCTGAGAGTTTGAAAAATCATGCCTCAGCTCTTGGCCTATCATGGCAACCGCGAGACATGTGGATGACAGCTTTCATGTCACAAGATTAATTCACTCTTTTGTGGCTCTAAGTCCGTGTTGGGCCAGATTTCATTCATTGCACATGTTTGAAGATTATCGGTTTTCTGTATTGTTGCTGAAACTGCTCTCATGTTTCACACGTTGTGGTCAGAAAGGGATTTAGATTTTGTCTTTTCACCGAACTTCAATTCACTCTGGCTGAGCGCCAGGGCTTATGGATTCCTGCGGTGGTGTCGTCGCGCAAAGAAAATCATACACATAGAAACAGAAGCAAACGTCAAACACCAAAACAGATTGCACTTGTTGGTGAAAGAGAATCACATGGTTCACCTATAGATGCCACGTGAAAGCAAGAACATGCAAAAGGTTGCAACAAGAACATGCCCGCAAGAAAAGGTAAGCAACACACGAATGCACGAACTTAGCATTGACAATGTTGATATATATATATATATATCTTAACATATATATATATATCTTAACACATATATATATATACATATGTGTGTTTCTAGCAATACTTTTTGTGCCTTTTTTCAAGTCAGCAGCAGTATTTCAAACATATATCATATCCACAAAAGCAACCAGAAATCGTTGCCGTTCCATTCCAAAACTACAAGAATATCATGGTTTTCGTGTTTCCAACATATGTTGGTTCTAATGCCAGCAACGTGAAAAACATAGAAAAAATGAGAATCACTATAACATCAAAAATTTACTCCCCGGACTAAATCATCATTTACTCCTAGGACTAAATCATCATTTACTCCTAGGAGTAAAATTTACTCCCTGGACTAAATTTACTCTTTAGTCGGGCTGCCCGACTAAATTTAGTCGCCGACTAAACCCTAAATCACTATTTTGGAGTAAATTTAGTCCAGGACTATTTTTAGTCGGATTGGATCTATCGGGTATGGCCTCAGCGTTCTATTTATTCCGGCTGCCCCGCTGCTGGGTCAAATTCCTTGCGTTCAATGCCAAATTCAAGGGATCTACAATTGGACAAGACAATGACGATGTTTATGTCCCAGCCTGCAGGGTCTTACCCATGGGGTGGTCTTCGTCCGTAGGACTGATGCAAATGGCATCTAGGGAACTCTTTCGGCGTAAGACGGCTATGTCTGCCCAGGAGTTGCGGCGACAGACGCTCGCTCCCCCTTGGTTTGTGGATAGCCTTCTGCGATCCGAATCTGAGCAGTTCTGGCAGGTGTATCTAAATAACTTCATGGCAGGGGAGGTGTGTAAAAAGACCAGTGCTCCCACTGCGTCACAGGTGCTGCATGAGGAGGTCGTAGAGTCCTGGAATGAGCATGGCGTGCTGCGTGCGGAAGAGAAGCACATCCTAGCAGCAACAGATGCCGTTGAGTTGGGGATCAACATCCAGGGGGATGTCGGCCTCGTTGGGTCCTCTGAGGCTTCACAAGCTGCTGTGTGCCACGCTAGTGCTCCTTGGTCAACGGCTTCCGAAAGTTAAATGGGTACAAATTATACTTGGGCGCTGGATATTTGTTCTCCAGTATCGCAGGCCCGCGATGGCAGTACTTAGCCAGAGCTGGAACTACACCAAGCAAGGCGCTTAGCATGCTAATCTGCTTGGCACCCTTGTTACACATGGACATCAGAATGCCGTTTTCACAAGTGGTAACATGTTCGGATGCCTCTCACTTTGGTGGGGCAGTAGCTGTTGCCGAAGCGCTGGGCAGCGCTGGCCAACAGCTGTGCCGCCGGCTCTCTTCCCCGGAACTTGAGGCCATTGCTGCACCGCTGTTGGTGGTGTCTGCCTTCAACGGCATCGGTGGAGCCTTCAGGGGGTATGACCTGGCAGGGGTCAAACCGCAGGGCCTCATAGCCATTGAATGGGACAGAGCCGCCCGTCGAGTTACCCGAAAAGCCTGGCCACAAGTCATTGAATTCGGTGATATTGAAAAAATCACCAGACGGGACGTTCAAGACTGGGCAAACCTCTTCCCACGTGTCACGCACGTGCACGTGGTTGGGGGTTTCCCATGTGTCCACCTTTCGGCAGTCCGCGCGGGGCGCCAGAACCTGGAGGGTGATGGTTCGCGGCTCTTCTGGTGCCTGACGCGGCTGATCCGCTGGGTCAAAGAGGCCTTTGGTGCCAGCGCCCGGGTGGACTTCTTGATCGAGAACGTGCTGAGTATGGACACCTCGGCACGCGCAGCAATCTCCCTAGAGTTGGGCGTGGAGCCCTATGCGCTCTGCCCTTCGGATATGCTGCCTTACAATCGCCCGAGCTTGGCTTGGGTCAGCCCGACTATGCAAGAAGGTGACGGAATCCGGCTGGAGCCACTTGAAGGGTTCACCCGGGTTCATATGCGCGGCGGCGGCATCTCCGATCTTCAATGGTTAGAGCCTGGGTGGTCCAGATACAACCCAGCTGCTCCACTGCCAACCTTCATGAAGTCAATCCCTCGTCACCGGCCCCCCGAAAGGCCTGCGGGACTAGCTCGATGTGACCAAGATTGCATTGAAAGATGGACGTCAGATTCTTTCAGGTTCCCTCCATATCAATACAAGCTGGAGAACCTCCTGCAGAACGCGGCTGGTGATTTGCGGTACACATCCGCTAGTGAACGGGAACTGCTGCTCGGTTTTGGGTTCAATCATATTCATTTTGCTTTCTCAGCCAGCGAGAGCAAGGGCCAGGAACTGGCTTTCGAGGACAAACGGCTGTCGCTCTGTAGCGATTCTTTCTCAATGTTATCATTTGGATGGGTCATCAGCCAAAGCCACCTTTGGGTTCCTCCATCCAGCCCGTCTGCACTACTGCTACGGATGGGGTTGGCCCGGCGCTGGGCTAGCGCCGGGGTTTATGGCACCCATTCAGCGGAAACTGTGCTACGGACCATCCCCTCTGAACCCTTGCAGCACCGGGAAATTGGTGGCTCAACTGTCACGGCATGTGAATCACACAGGTTCTGATGTTTCCTTGTCCATGGGGACCCCCTTTTCACCTAAGGCTTCTAATCATGTTACACTAAGGGCAGATTGGTGGACTTGGAAAATCCTTTTCACTATACCAGGTGGAAATTTCCCAGCCATATTAACTACTTGGAGATGAAAATGATTTTACAAAGTATTCGATGGCGTGTCCGACAGCATGGTATGTAATTATATCATCAGTAAGGGTCGCACGTCCAGCCAGTTGTTACAACCCATCACTCGTGAAATTGCAGCTTACCTTTTGGCTCTCAATTCACATCAACTGCAAGGGCACGTGAACTCGTCGGAAAATCCGACTGATGCCGCGAACCGTGAGGCGACCCATTAAAAAGGGCAAGTCGCTGGCCGAACGTCAGGCCGCGCGACGTGGCATCTCGCTTCGGGGGGTTGGCATCAGTGCCACAACCGAGCACAGGTACAATTCGGCCATGTCCACGTTGCTGCCCAGCTTGGAGCTCGCTGGGTCCATGGATGACCTCGACCCGCTCTGTGAAGAGTGGATTGAAGCTCAATGGGTGGCTGGCACTCCCCTCGGCATCATTGGGGATGCTCTTTGCGGGGTACATTTCTACTGGCCTCAAAGCAAGGGCTTTTTGAAGGGGTCTTGGCGCCTCTATCGAAACTGGCGCCGTATTGAAGTGCCCCAGCGAGCTCCACCCTTGCCCCGCTTGGTTTGCCGAGCTCTCATCAGCTTCTTCTTGGAGTGCAATGAACCCACAATGGCCTTTCTGCTTGCATTAGGTTTCCATACCTACTTGCGCACAGGAGAGATCCTCAAGCTCACCGCTCAAGATGTTGCTCTCAATTCTCAGCATGGAGTTGTTACAATCCGACGTAGCAAGACAGGTCTCCGATTCAACATCGATGAAGCCGTAGCCATCAACGATCTGAGTCTTTTCTCACTTTGGGAGCTATGCCATCTAGAGCGTGCGCTGGCACCGGGTGATCTCATCTGCCGCCGTAGCGCAAATGCTTTTCGGCAATTGTTCTATCAGGGGATCCATTTCTTCAAACTTGATCACATTGGTTTTGCCCCCTATTCAATTCGTCGGGGAGGCGCTACGCATAGTTTCCAGACTTCCCAGAGCCTGGAAAGTATCCTCCTCAGAGGACGCTGGCGCGCCTTAGGCGTTGCCAGACTTTACATCGAAGCCGGCCAGGCAGAGTTGTCTCAACTTCAGGTGTCCCCACAGTCTCAACGATTGCTCGCTTCCTTCAACCGAGGACTTCCACCTCAAATGTTACCTTGACGCCTCCTTGTAGGCATGTTTGGGATCGTGGATAGGCGATCCTTTTGGCATGCCTTGTGCCAACTTAATCCAGCCCTCACGTGCCTTGCGTGAACGGGCCAGATGAAGCCAGAGGGCTTATCTCCAGACCAGAGGGTCTTGTTGTTGCCAAAGGGCATCTGATGTAGGTTCAATTGAACCTTGTTTCAGTATGAAAGGTGCTTACAACAACTGTAAGCAGAAATAACCTTTGTGTGCTTGACCAAAAGTCAGTGAGCGTGGAGTGAACAGGGTCAGCCTAGGTTTTCGAAGGGAGTCGAAGATTAGGCTGCACTGTGGTCGAATACGCCGCAGTGTTTGGCTCCCTCCCACCCCTCCCGTGCGCACGACGCTGGGAGGTGGCTGGGCACTGGATAGGCGATCCTTTTGGCATGCCTTGTGCCAACTTAATCCAGCCCTCACGTGCCTTGCGTGAACGGGCCGAGATGAAGCCAGAGGGCTTATCTCCAGACCAGAGGGTCTTGTTGTTGCCAAAGGGCATCTGATGTAGGTTCAATTGAACCTTGTTTCAGTATGAAAGGTGCTTACAACAACTGTAAGCAGAAATAACCTTTGTGTGCTTGACCAAAAGTCAGTGAGCGTGGAGTGAACAGGGTCAGCCTACCTATTTGTCTGTCTGTCTGTCTGTCAGTCTGTCAGTCTGTCTGTCTATCTATCTATCAATCAATCAAAAGAGGATATGGCAGCAACATATTGTGTGTGTGTCTTCTGAAACTATGTGCATGGCAGGTGAAACAGCTTGGGATTCGGGTACAGTGGAATGTTCAGAGGCGGGGCATATTTCAGCACCTGTACACAAAGCCTTGGAAAAGCCGCTGCGATGATAAGAGCTACAGGGATCATTGTTGGACACGGATCTGTAGAAGATTTTAGAGGCTTTATGGCTTTATTCTGTGATACATCACAGATGCGGATGCCAAGTCTGGCCAAGGGATGCCACAGTGCGCGCAGTCAGATGCTCCACAGTACCCTTGAGTTGCTGAGGCCAAATGTGCAGCGAGTCGTCGAGGCCGGGAAAAGATGGAGCTTCGAACATAGACATGTTGAACATGTTTGGACAAGAAAAACTAACAGGGTAGCTGAGTTGATATGATTTGATTAAAATCTGAGTCTGATCTTGAGACTATGAAAAACCGTCTATGTACCATCTAAGGTCTGCTTCTTGGCGAGCCAGCTTTATTTATCCATATCCTTCGATTGTATCAAACAAAATTGTTCAAGGTTTACGTTTCAGCGTGTCAACTTTGAATATTAATGTTACCATGTCAGTTAGGAAGCGAGATGTCATTCAGGCTGCAATCAAGTAACACAGAAGTGTCTTGTGCATCAGTTGCTTATGACCAGCCATTGCAGGGTTTTGCAGCAGAAGATGCTGGTATCCGACAGGGCGATTTGCTGATGGTTTGGCACACAGAGAATGATAAAGAAAGCAATGAATTTTGGAAGCTGAGATAATCAGCCTGAAATTCGATTCTTGAAGATGATATGAGGAAATGACTCATGTCATGCTCATTGTGGGGAAAGCTACGTGCTGGAGATGTGCAAGATGTAATGACTTCGGTCTGTGCTTTGAGGCCATCAATGGCACCAAGACTGAAGGTAGGCCGCGCCAGGACAGGCTGTGGCTTGCAGCTCTTCAGGGTTTGACGTGATTTGACACATCGAAGAGACGCTCAAGATGGAAGGCTGTTGTTTAACCTTGAGCTGCTCTGTTCCACTTGTTCCATCTACTCCCTCCAGTCGAACTTGCTGAGGGATCTTCAGTCGAGTCAAAGACAGGCCGCCTTAGTCATCACTTGTTCCTTTTTGGAATCAGTGAGCATCACTCATATGTCACTATACATGCCAAAGAAAAGGGACAGCAAAGCACATTCGTTGCTACAACCAAAATGACAGTAAAGTAATGAACATCAGTAAACATTAATTAAGTAACATCAGTATCTAAAATCTATTGTATGTACATGTATACATAAACCGTCCGAGACAGTAATGCATTGTATGATACGTGGCCATGAGGAGCTTCTGGCCTTACTCCAGCACCGGCCGCTGACCTTGGAACTTCTACGAAGAGCTCCAGATGGTGGCGAAGCCGCAGAAAGGTCGTTACATGTAACTAGTAAAGGTCGTTTTTTTTTTTGCATGGCTTAGTTCAATGATGTTGAGTGACTGATGAAGTAAACTGTGAGATTGTTGGAGCATGTTGGAGCGATGATGTTTCATGGTGCTTCACATGTTTGGCACTTCTGGAAGCGTTCAGCAGTGTCTCTGGGTGACACTTGGGCTCTCAATTTCAATGTAAAATCATGCAAAATCTACACTTGAGCTGTGGTTGGTGGCTCAGTTCTGAAGCAAAATGTGCGCAAACTGAGGCAATCGGAATCAAATAGATCCGGTGTGCTTTGGGACTGCCACAGCTGCTTTGTTTTGTTTTCTTTGTCAGAATTGAACAGTCCAAGTCGCGGGTACATTGTGGAATATTGTGTAAATACTATTAAAATACCCGTTGAATTTTTTGTTACTAAATCTGAGGCCTCAGGGCCGTTACAGAATGGTTTTTGGCTACCATTTTGTGCAAAAATTTGACCCTGGGCTCTGCCATCTTGTAAGTGGACCCCCCCTGGTACCGGAATTTTGCATTGGAAGTGCGAGTTTGTTACCCTCCAGTCCCGACCATTCTGTCGGAGTCTGGAGGGCTAATCAATAACCGCTACAAATTGCATGGATTCAAAGCGTAAATGGATAATACTCAACTATAGCCCCTACAAACTGGATGGAATAAAAAAATCACAGAATAATTTTCATAGCCTAGGAGATCTCAAATAAGAGTGTATATTGAATGCATCAAGTTCCAATGCAGTCTGATAAGTGCACTTTATTGATGCCAACGTGAACAAATTTAACATCAGTCGCGACTTGCGATTGATGTCATTGCTCATATATATATATATATATATATAGTTATTTTTATATATAATATATATATATAGATATCGATATATATATATATATATTTTGATTATGACATCCAACGTTGTATTTAATGTTTAGCTTGGCCACTCAGACAGCGTGACGCCAAAACAGACGGATGAACGCAAAAGAACGGAAAAAATGAACCGCGACTCGGGTTGGCCAGGCTGTTGCAGGTTACTTCCCAGGAATCCTAGCATAGTCCGAGTATAGCCACCCCCAGTCCCCACCATTCTGTAAAGGGCAAATCGAGCCAACGGATGCGAGCGGATGCGAGTCGAGCAGAATCTGTGACTCATTTTGTAACTAGGGGTCAAATAATATATATATATATATATCGATATTTATATTTTTTGATTATGACATCCAACGTTGTATTTAATGTTTAGCTTGGCCACTCAGACAGCGTCACGCCAAAACAGACGGATGAACGCAAAAGAACGGAAAAAATGAACCGCGACTCGGGTTGGCCGGGCTGTTGCAGGTTACTCCCCAGGGATCCTAGGACAGTGCGAGTATAGCCACCCCCAGTCCCCACCATTCTGTAAAGGGCAAATCGAGCCAACGGATGCGAGCGGATGCGAGTCGAGCAAAATCGGTGACTCATTTTGTAACTAGGGGCCATCTTGGACTGCCATTTTGTAACAAAAACCTTCCTCGGTGAACGTTGGGTTCTGCCAACTTGTAAGAAGGGCACCTTGGGGACGCCGTTCTGTAGCTACAAAATGGGGCTCCCAACCCCTCGGGTCCAATCTGAACGGGGATCTATTAAATACTAAGGTTATAAATGGTTTTATATCACTATATAATGGTTCTGTTTGGCCTTGAAAATGTCCAAAGTGCAAATTACAGAGACCTATGCAGTGCCTGCCCACTGTGTCCTCATTCAGCAGACACATTAAGACAAGTCCAGCCTACGAGCTTCAGTACTTCGAATGAATTGGAGAGTTTAATGTCTGAATTGAGACCAGCATGTCCGAAATTCTCCGAATCAGCGTGCGCACTTGGCAGACAGCAGGACACCCCAGGAGTCTTTGTACCATTTGCAGAGCTCCCGCAGCCACTTGGGCGATGAGAAGCCATCTCCAACCAGCCAAAGCTCACCATCTAGGCAGGGACTTGAGCTCAGTGGCAGGTAGTGATGGGCTGTCCACGGTTCTCCACCAAGAAACCCTGGAATAGCAGATTAATCATGATATATCTATCATGATTATACATGCTATATAATGCAAGTTCTCTTGTTTCGGAGTCAGCGTCATGCTCACGAATCCAAGTTTGAGCCGGATCTAGAAGCGTCGCTTCTGTTTTTGCTCTAATGGTCAAAAACTCTGGATTACTCATATCAGATAAGCCATGGTCAATCGTCAGACTGAAAGGAAATAGCAAAGTAGTTCCAGAACATTCCAGAAGTATTCTAAATGCTCAAGCAACGTTCCATGCAGAATTAAGCGGACTGAAACTTGTTGGGTCTCAGGCACCGACATTCTTGCATTCATGCTTTTTTTGCTATGGTTTGCTGTGGTTTTCTCGACACCTCTGCCATACAGGAGGGCCAAAATTAAGCTTGATGCTGTGAAAGAGGAATCTGCTAAATCGGAGGCACAACACGGGGGCAGCGACTGGTGGTTCATTTTGGATTTTACCCTGTACTCGTGGAATTTACTTTCCACGAAGACAGGAATCACGTTGTAACGAGTAATTAATCCCTCCTGATTTGAGTTACCATAGAACTCTCGAGACGCCATCCTTTGGATATGTTCATTTGTTTGGATGAAGGAAGAATTTCAGCCAGGAATCTTGTTGTCAGAACAAGTTTCAGATGTCAATGTTGCGCGCTGATGCATTCTGCAATGCTCCGAAGCGGATTTCAATCCTATGGTTTGCTGGTTATTTGTAGCCATTCTTGTGCTGAGAAGCTGGAAACTTTCAAATTCTGTGTGCTCAACTGATACCTAATAGGTGCAGAAACTGACTATGACCATTGACTAATATTGACTAGCAGCGTTTGTTTGGTTGTGTATGTTCAGTACTGCTCACCACGCTGTTGCTTAAGATTTTTGGATTATTTCCAGACTTCAAGCTGTTTGCCCAATGGTGGTTCAGTGGGTGGTCTTGTGTCGCTAACACTCTGGGCACTAATCTTGTAAAGTTTACTAGGGTTTGGTGATTGTGAAACGTGTTACCTTCGACTTGTGGAGAATTCATTTGCTAGGGTGCTGACAAATGCCTATGCATGCCTATGTGCTAACTCATTTTGTGTTGGTGCTCTTGCGCCTGTTTTCTGTTTTCTATAGGGCGTGCAGGATAGTATTGTGTTCTCTATCGATACCTCTGATTCATGCCTACAATGTGCTGCGATATGGACATTCCAAATATCAGCACGCGACAGGCTGATGCCAAGAGCGAGTGCAGAAGCGAGCCTAGAAGCGAAATCCGCGGTGCGATCCGTCCACCCAAATCGCCCAAATGTGAAGTAGATGACAAGGATGGGCCGGGGCCAGGGCGGATCCGGGTCCCACAGGGTCCCACAGGGTCCCATATGGTCCCATAAGACTTCCCATAAGACATATCGTACCTTACCAGTAGTACCGCAAAGGCGGTGGCCCAAGTTTCAAAATTAGGAAACCTATAGGAGAGCTTGGTTGCGAATCATGGATGGCAGAGCGACTACACTGCTGGATTGACAAATGGTTGGACTGTCGGGCTATCTATAGAATGGGCTAGCACCCGGGTGCCGCCGACCCCTCCTTCTTTGGGGGGGGCGGTGACCGCAGCCATTTCAGCGGAGGCGAAGCAAAGTAAGAGTACCTAGACCTAGCAGAACCTGGAAAATTCAAGGGTGTGTAAAAATCAGGATCATTCGGGGGAAAGCCCGAGGTATGTCCATTTTTTAGATGTTCATAATCATGTTGTTTTTCACCTACATGCTCATGATACACCTCCATCTTCGCGTGCTGGCAGCAATCTCGTGGGTTATGGATGGTTATGGGCCAAAATTGACAGTTTCTACCATATTTTAAGATCATTTTTCAACATATTGAGGGAAGTTGTGATGATAAAAACGGATTTTTTTGGGACCTTTTTGTTCTCCATTGGCCATGGACCAATGTATATGAACATAACCCTGCAAGTCGGAAGGTCAAGTTTTACGAGGTCTTTTGCAAAAGACCAAGTTTTACGAGGTCCTCTGGTTTACTTGATTTTATAGAGCTCAGCCCTTTTTCCCATCAATGCTGAATTTGACTTGAACCCCATTTGAAACTGTTGATGCATGATTGGGAAGCATTCAATCACCTACAGATCATAGCCCCGAATGGGCCTTTCCAAGTTGCAATGAACAGCCACTAAGGCTGACATTCCGGAGCATATGCAAAGCAAATTCGTGGCGTTTCCCCTCAAGAAATTATATGTTTGGCAGAAATTTCCACACTGAAAAAATGGTTCCTAGGGTTTCACGCTCGGTTCACGCTCGGTTCACGGTCATAGTTGGTCTTTTGCCAGTCATAGTTGGTCTTTTGCCGGTCATAGTTGGTCCGGTTCACGCTCGGTTCACGCTCGGTTCACGCTAGCGATTCTGGGCCCCTGATAATTCAAAAACCATACGTTTGTGGTGGTTCCAGCCCTGGACTCCCAATGATAAAATAGTGTGGGGTACCCTATGATAAACCGCAAATTGGATATTTGGTCGGTGAAGGGATGTGGCTATCCTGAAATTTAGGTCAACAATTATGGGTTTATGCATCTTATATATTACTGTTGGACATCCATGGCTCATCTTAACTTTGGACCCAAAAGGTCCAAGTAATAGTAGGTCCTCATCAAGTAATAGTAGGTCCTTTTCAGCAAAGTTAAAAGGCCAAGTTTTACGAGGTCTTTGACCTGGAGGGTAATATTCAGATCCCCAATTGTCGACCGTGAACAAAAGCGTACCAACCCAATTTCCCTGCTTGATTTGGACTGGCTGGTCGAAGTGAGGCGGGATTTTAGGCGTTTGAGGGCTGGCAAACGGCAGGCTTGAACGCTCTAACAACAGAGGGCCATGGAGGCAAACGGCAGGCTTCAACGCTCTAAGAGCACATGCCTGTGGCCAGAGTGCCTGGTCGAAGCTGTCGCGGGGGATTTTACGCGTTTGTGCCCATGCAGAGTGCCTGGTCGAAGCTGCGGCGGAAATTTAGGCGTTTGAGGGCTGGCAAACGGCAGGCTTGACCGCCCTAACAACAGAGGGCCATGGAGGCAAACGGCAAGCTTCAAAGCTCTAACAACAAATGCCTGTGGCCAGAGCTGCCGCGGATGATTTGAGGCATTTGAGGGCTGGCAAACGGCAGGCTTGAACACCCTAACAACAGAGGGCCATGGAGGCAAACGGCAGGCTTCAAGGCTCTAACAACAAATGCCTGTGGCCAGAGTGCCTGGTCGAAGCTGCCGCGGGTGATTTTAGGTGTTTGAGGGCTGGCAAATGGCAGGCTTGAATGCCCTAACAACAGAGGGCCATGGAGGCAAACGGCAGGCTTCAACGCTCTAAGAACACATGCCTGTGGCCAGAGTGCCTGATCGAAGCTGCCGAGGATTTTAGGCATTTGAGGCAAATGGCAGGCTTGAACGCCATAACAACAGAGGGCCATGGAGATGCCTGTGGCCAAAGTGCCTGGTCGAAGCTGCCGCGGGGGATTTTAGGCGTTTGAGGGCTGGCAAACGGAAGGCTTGAACGCCCTAACAACAGAGGGCCATGGAGGCAAACGGCAGTCTTCAAGGCTCTAAGAACAAATGCCTGTGGCCAGAGTGCCCAGAGTGCCTGGTCGAAGCTGCCGCGGGGGATTTTAGGTGTTTGAGGGCTGGCAAACGGCAGGCTTGAACGCTCTAACAACAGAGGGCCATGGAGGCAAACGGCAGGCTTCAACGCTCTAAGAACACATGCCTGTGGCCAGAGTGCCTGGTCGAAGCTGCCGCGGGGGATTTTAGGCGTTTCAGGGCTGGCAAACGGCAGGCTTGAACACCCTAACAACAGAGGGCCATGGAGGCAAACGGCAGTCTTCAAGGCTCTAAGAACAAATGCCTGTGGCCAGAGTGCCCAGAGTGCCTGGTCGAAGCTGCCGCGGGGAATTTTAGGCGTTTGGCTGGCAAACGGCAGGCTTGAACGCCCTAACAACAGAGGCCCATGGAGGCAAACGGCAGGCTTCAAGGCCCTAACAACAAATGCCTGTGGCCAGAGTGCCTGGTCGAAGCTGCCGCGGGGATTTTTTTGGCGTTTGAGGGCTGGCAAACGGCAGGCTTGAACGCCCTAACAACAGCCATGGAGGCAAACAGCGAGCTTCAAGGTATAAGGCTTGGACGGTTTCAAGGAAGCATCCGGCATTGTCGAGCCAATAAAAACGAAAGATGTGGCAGTTTGGCAGCTCCAAGAGCGCCAAGAACTGGACAAGATGAAGTCCACACCAAAGGTGGCAGGTGTCGGAAGGTTTCGAGGGTTTGAAGGGAGCATCCGGCAGTTGCAAGGCAGTAAAAAAAGGAAAGACTTGGCCTGCCACAGCTGGCAGCTCCAAGCGCCAGTTTGGAGGGTTTGAAGGGTTTGAGGCAGTTTCGGGCCAGTAGAAAAGGAAAGACTTGGCGTATCTTGGCGTGGCACAGCTGGCAGCTCCAAGAGCCGGTCTCGCATGTTTCGGAGGGTTTGAAGGGTTTGAAGGGAGCATCCGGCAGTTTCGGGCCAGTAGAAAAGGAAAGACTTGGCGTGCCACAGCTGGCAGCTCCAAGAGCCGGTTTCGCAGGTTTCGGAGGGTTTGAAGGGTTTGAAGGGAGCGTCCGGCAGTTGCAAGGCAGTTAAAACGGAAAGACTTGGCCTGCCACAGCTGGCAGCTCCAAGGAAGGTTTCGGAGGGTTTGAAGCGTTTGAAGGGAGCATCTTGCAGTTGCGGGCCAGTACTTGGGACCCGCTTTTGGGTTAGGTGACTTAGCAAAAGTTAGCTTTCACTTAGGTCACTTAGCTTTGAGGTTAGAGAAGATGCCTGGCTAAGTGCTAGCTAAGTGGCCGCTAAGTGAAGCTAAGTTTTTTTGTACGTTTTTTTGTATTTTACCAGTAGTACCGCACAAGGCGGTGGCGGAAGTTTCAAAAAAAGGAAACCTATAGGAGAGATTGGTTGTTGTGAACCAGGGATGGCAGAGCGAAGCCACTGATGGACTGAAAGGTGCTTGAAGTCTCCTCTCTTTCTCTCTCTTTCTCTGACTATCTACCTACCTACCTATCTCTCTATCTATCGATCTATTTGTCTCTCTCTCTCTCTTTCATCTAATTACCTATCTATTTATCTATCTATCTATCTTTCTATCTATCTATCTATCTATCTATCTCTCTCTCTCTCTCTCTCTCTTTCATCTGTCTATCTGTCTATCTGTTTAGCTGTCTACCTGTCTATCTGTCTATCTATCTATCTATCTGTCTATCTGTCTACCTGTCTATCTGTGGTGCAGCGTCATTCAGTGTCATGTAGTGTAGTGTAGTGGAAAGTAGTGTAGTGTAGTGTAATGTAGTGTAATTTCGTGTAGTGGAGTGTAGTTGTGTAGTCGCAGGTGTAGTTGTAGTGTAGTGGAGTGTAGTGTAGTGTAATGTAGTGTAGTGTAATGTCATTTAGTGTAGTGGAGTGTAGTGGAGTGTAGTTGTGCAGTTGTAGTTGTAGTTGTAGTTGTAGTTGTAGTTGTAGTGGAGTGTAGTGTAGTGTAATGTAGTGAAGTGTAGTGGAAAGTAGTGTAGTGTAGTGTAATGTAGTGTAGTGTAGTGTAATTTAGTGTAGTGGACTGTTGTGGAGTGTAGTGGAGTGTAGTAGAGTGTAGTTGTGTAGTTGTAGTTGTAGTGTTGTGGAGTGTAGTGTAGTGTGATGTAGTGAAGTGTAGTGAAGTGTAGTGTAGTGTAGTGCAATGTAGTATATTGTAGTGAAGCGAAGCGAGCGACACCTGAACCTCCAAAAGTGGTCCGAACCCCTAGTGTTTTGAACATTTTGACCTCGAAATGTGCTTCGCGCGACAACGGCATGCACTTTTTCGACATCTGAACCTCCAAAATTGGTCCGAACCCCTGGTGTTTTGAACATTTTGACTTCGAAATGTGCTTCGCGCCACCACGGCGTGCACTTTTTCGACATCTCAACTTCCAAAAGTGGTCCGACGCTGAGGTGTTTTGTACATTTTGACTTCGAAATGTGCTTCTGGGCCTCCGTGATTTGCTTCAGGAGCACCTTGACATCGGCCGCATCACAAGGCAAGGTCGTCAGAGCCTCCTGGGCATCTTCTCCTTTTTCTTTGTTCCGATCCTGCAAGCTTACAGCGTCCTTCGCTGCACGGATCCACCTTTTTGCCGTCAGGAGGCTTTCCTGACACAGTGTCAGAGCTTCTTGTTCTGCCTCTGGCACAGTTTCTCCCTTGGCAATCACCTTGGTGAGGGAGGTTTCCGCTTGGGTCAGAGGTCCGAGGCACTTGGCCGCCCAGGTTGCAATCTTCACATTCTCGGTGACAACCTTCTTAGCCTCTTGGGCTTTCTTGCGGTCCGCCTTCTTAGCCTCCGCTTCCTCCTTCCCGCTTGGGCCAGCGAGAGGCACGTCCATGTCTTTGCTCCCCCTCTTTTTGCTTGCTTTTCCCTTTCCAGCAACGTTTCCTCCGAACTCTGAAAAAGCCTCCGCCCATGTGCATGTCCGCACTGGCACCTTGAACAGCTCGCATCCATGGGCTTCGGACAGCTCTGAAGGAAATTTACGCACAACGTGTTCCTCCTTGGAGGCTCGGGGGTGGTTATAAGCACATAGGGGACATACTAGGTACATACGGCACTTACTATTGGGATACAGAGCTTACAGTATGTCACTTAGCGGACTTACTGGGACAGCACTTAGCGCGCTTACGTAAGTGGCTTACAGCACTTACCTAAGTCCGCGAGCGCTTTTGTGTTTCCACAAAACTCGATTTGGATTTTTGTGTTTCCACGAAAACTTGCAACGGAATTTTGTGTTTCCACCAAAACCCCATTCAGAATTTTTGTGTTTCCACCAAATGTGAAACGGGATTTTGTGTTTCCACAAATTTTTGTAAGTGCACTTAGCCTAGATACGTAAGTAGCGTAAATCCTTTACAGGACTCAGGCCACTTAGGGCTTAAGCTGCCTATCTCACTTAGCCCACATAGGCTAAGTGGTTAGCCAGGTGCCATAAGTCGCGTAATCATTTATGCAACATAATATATAGTTAGCCCAAAACTGTAACTACGTACGTAAGTGACTTAGAGACAGCACCCCGCTTAGCACCACTTATAAGGTAACTTAGCACCACTTATAAGGTAGGTTACAGCACTTAGTAAGTAGGTTATATAAGTGCTCTAACCTTGCTATGTACTTATAACCGCCCCCGGCCCTCCAAGTCCCATCCACGCGTCAGCAGCACGGACAAAGGAAGTTCTTCCACCGCGACCTTGCTCTCAAAGGACTTAATCCTCATTTCCGTCATGCGCTTCAGCAGAGTCGCCCGGATGGTTTGCCAAGCAAGCTTCCCGTCAAGACATTTGGCGGCATGAGTCGCCTTAAAGAACTTCTCACTCTCCTCTTGGGAGAACTCTTGCAAGTCCGCGGTGGTGCCAAGATGACGCCGCAACGTCTGCTCCACATTCTTGCAATTGCCGCACTTGAAGTTTCGTCCATGTAGACGTCCTTCCTGTTGGGAATACTCCAAGCCACAGCTGCCGCACTTCGCCTTTGCCTCTTGGGCTTCCGCCGCTGCCATTGCGACAGGACACAGGGACAACAGCACAGACACGTCAGAAGACCAAAGCCTTGAGGATCCAAATCTTCGGAAGACCGTCAAAGATTTTTTCTCCAAATTTGCAACTTTCCACTAAAATCCCACACTCATGGACCTTTTTTAGGAATTTGAAGGTTGAAACTCCCGCACTCAACCGCACTCATGACCGCCCTATGTTTGAGAGGGGTTATTCCTTGCCGCACTCAACCGCATTCACGACAACCTCCTCACACCTCACCTCTTCCTGTCCGCACTCATGCCCCGCACTCAGGCCAGAAGTGATAGATTTTTTCCCGCACTCATCCGCACTCATCCGCACTCATCCGCACTCATCCGCACTCATCCGCACTCAACCCGCACTCATGGCGTTTTCCACGAAAAACTATCCTACCGGGAGACAGCGCATCTCCGCGGGATCATCTCGACGATCCTTCGGCTAGCCCACATATAGGCTTTGGCGCCCTTGGCGCCAACGCTGCCGGAGCTTTCGTACAAGCCACGCAGCTCTGCGGCACCAGAGGAATTCCCTGTGTCGATTCTCTCGCGTAGAGAGATGCCACGCCAAGGTGCACAGAAATTTCCGCGCAGCCGCGTACCTGTCACCAAAGCAGTCCCAGATCCAGTGGTCTGCACTTGGCTGCTGGACCAATTGTGCTGGAACGAGGCAGAAGCCAGGTAGCTTCGGATGCGGCGGTAGGTCCAGCGGCGTGGCATGCCATTCTCCGTAGAGAAGCAGCGCCGACAAACGCGACAATAGTAGTCGCTGATCCTCCGGCATCGCGTGGATGCATGCGCTTGCTAACGACTCGCGGGCTCCATGCCAAGTAGACTGGAACTCCTCGAGCGGCTGAGCTGGCATCGTAGCCGTCATCGCGTGGATGACCTCTTCCAAGGCACTTGGCCACAGAGAGAAGGAAACATCAGCAGACATCAGCGGAGACACGCGACCGGGGCCACCGAACTACACAGAAACGCTACATTGAGCCAACCGCAACAAAACAGACATGTCAGAACCAGAAAGGACAAACCGACGAAGGAGACACTCAGACAGCCTCCACCACTTTGCAGACAGCCACCACAGATACACGGTCCGTGGATGAAGCGGCTTGCGCGGGGGTAGAGGCCGCGACTTGCGCGGCCATCCCCTTCGATTGCGACACCAGCAACTTGTTATCCTTGCGCAACGGATAATTTCGCACCACTTGCACCATCTCAGACGCGATGGATGCAGACAAGACAGCTGGCTTCCCCATGGGGAAATTTGCGCTGGGCAACTCTTGCCAACACATCGGCAAACCAGGCAGCGCTTGGCCACCAGCAAGTGCAGATGACAGATACTTTGTCACCAAATGTTCTTTGTTCAGGTAGAACTGGTACTGATCCTGTGGTGACATCTTGCACACAGCTCGCCAATTGGCCAAAACTAGCAACATAGCCTTCGAAGCTTCACTTGCATTCCTGAGCGTCAACTTGGACGGATGATAACACAACTTCTGTAGCAACGCATCCCGATCCAAGTCTTCCCCCGCAAGAACCATGGTAGCCAGCTCCTCAGTCAAGTAGTATGGTAGCATCAAGAAATCCTGACCAGTGCCACGCATGGGCTGCTCCTCCAAAGCCTTTGTCTTCTCAGCTATCGACGCTTGATACTCCGCCACTTGGGCTGCTGTCCACAGCTCACCATCAAACGCTGCGAGCCACTCTGCCGCTTGAGCAGGGCCACCTTCTCCAATGACTTGGAGACTCCCCGCCATTGTTTCTCCCGCATCTCAGAGAAACTTGACAAGGCCACAACTCCACGTAGGAATTTTTGGGCCGCTTCCATCTGCTTCGGACGCGACGCCTTTCTATATGCAACGCAAAGAGACAAAAGCTGCGAAACATATGTTTTTTCTTCCATTTTCAATTCTTTACAAAAAAACAGTTGTTTTTTTCAAAAAAAACTAAGTCGCCGCTAAGTTAGCGCTAAGTTTCGTGAGACCCAGAACTTCCATTCCTCCTTATTTAATTTAAGGAGTTTTTTTAAAGGAATTCCACCTTAATTAAGCGGGAATTCCCTTAATTAAGGAGGAATTTTTCCTTAATTAAGGAATTCCACCTTAATTAAGGAGGAATTCTCCTTAATTAAGGCGTTTTTTTTGAAAATTCCTCCTTATTTTTTTTTAAGGAGGTTTTTTTTCACTGTCTTTAGATACATCTTTGACATCATCATTGCATCAAGACCAACCTTTGGAGGTTGCTTCAAGGAGATGCAAGATCTCCTTTTGGTGTTTTGATTTCCTGCATGTAATATTTGTGCATCGCATCTGCAGTTGATTTCTCAAGATGAGTAGAGCTAAGAACACTGCTTCTGTTCAAGACCTTTGCAAATGTTTGAAAGCAGAGGTGGCTTGTTTGGATCCCAAGGAGTACTTGGATGTTGAAATTGATCAAGTTTGCAAGCATTATCGAAAATTTCGGGGCTTGATGTTCCAGAAAACAATTCGACCATCCAAAGACTGCTTGAAGGAAGCTGCCTTGAAAGTCAACCCTCGCACTTTGAGTGACGAAGCGAAGAAGTGGCCTTCTGCAATTGTCGAATGTGTGCAACACATCAGAACAAAAGCAAAATGGTCAATTTCAAGTAAGAAATATGAGCCTTGGATGGGTGAGCTTGTGAAGATCTATCTGGAGTGCTCAGAATTCCATGGGAACCGGCAGAAAGGCAAGTTTGTTCAGAAAGCCATTGCCAAGCGAAGGCTCATGAGACAAAGTTCCAATGCGAGCTCCATCCCACCGTTGCCTGTGAATGAACCACTTTTGCAAAAATTTCCTCCAGGCCACAGCTCAGAAACATTGGATAGCCAAGAGCATCAATTGATAGAAGTGTCGAGTGAAGAGAGCCAAGCGAGTCCTAAGAAGCCTGTGAGTGCTGGAACCTGGATCGATTCTACTGCCATGGTGGTATGTCGCTTTCTGGATAGCAAGGTGGAGAAAGCTACTATGAGTGAAGGACCAAATGGCTTTGCCATTGCTGCTTTTGGTGAAAACAAATTTGAATCTGAAATTCCCAATGAATCTTTGAAGATTTATAGGCAGTCTGCAGGTGGGAAAAAGCCTGCTGCAGTCTTGAAAAGGCCTGCTGCAGTCTTGAAAAGGCCTGCTGCAGTCTTGAAAGGCCTGCTGCAATCTTGAAAAAGCGTGCTGCATGTGAAGCAGTACTTGGCACTTCTGAAGAAGAGGATGTTGAAGCTCGGCCGGCTGTTGCAGTGGCTGATCCTGAACCTGCTGCTGTTGACTTGGCATCTCCTGAATATCGCTTGGAAGATTATCCTGCCAAAGGCAGTCGAAAGTATGGTGCTTTAGGTGTCAGACGAAATTTTGGAGACAAGAAACAAATCAAATCTTTCACTTTGAACAAAACTTCAAGATAAGTTGGCTTGGATTTGGCCCAGAAATGCATTGCTGATTTGCACAATGGTGCTACTGAACAATCTGTGATTGAATTTTTGAATGAGGAAATTCGAAAGTGGAAGGTTGGACAGGATGTGGATTAGATTGGATGAAATTGCAAAAAAATGGCTGCTGATTTCTGTTGCATGTTTCAAGGAGGTGTAAAATCTCCTGAGAGTTCTCTATAGGAAAATAGGAAATAGTCTTTCCACTTTTCTGTCTTAAGGAGGTGCAAGATCTCCTGACATTTGGAACTTGAGCGTTTAGTGCCTGGGTGGATTTCAAAAATGGCTTATAGACTTTCATAGGATGTGGCTTTAATGTTTAATGTTGGATTGGAATTCTGGATTTGAGAAATTTTGTCTGGAATTTGGAATGTTGAAATTTGGAATTTGAATATATATATATATATTTTTTTTTTTCCAACACTGGATGCAGGTCTACCACTGGGGGAGGGAGTGAGAGGTGCAGCAGCCCAACTCACTTACATGGCTGACATGGGCGTCATCTCATTTGAAGAAGCAAGAAGACGAATGAGAATCCTCTATGCTGTGAGAGCTTCTCAAATCTATGGAAACTTGAATCATTTAGATAATGATTTTGTTTCATACATGGTTTGATATATCATGCTATGAAGGAGATGCAAGACCTCCTCAGATGATTTTTTGTTTTGGGCCTTAGGAGATCTTGCACCTCCTTTGTTTCAGTTTCAATGCATCATGAGGACCACCTACTGCACCTACTGCGCATGCTACTCCATTGGAGCTCCTGGATGAAGGAATGATCTACACAGGCTGGAGTTTTCTGTGACTGTGGCTTTGAAAGTATCTCATGTCAACCATGCCCTGTGCAATATGTTCATCACCATGCCTCCTGATCAGGTCCTGCTGTAACCCCATATTCTCCTACATAACCTATTGATGCTGGAGAGCAAGCCGAAAAACCCAAAGAGGATGAGGATTCAAATGTAGATTGAGTCAATTGAGCTTCCCTGGAAAAATGATTGGAGATTATGGGCGCAAGCGACTCTTTAAGGAGGTGCAAGATCTCCTTGATAAACTAAATTTAAATTTAAGTAAAACATGATATCTGTGACATGAGCATTTCTGCATGTCTGAAGCTGTCAAGTCATATTGATCAATGTAGTGGTGATGGACCTGTAGAATCATTTTTGAAGCCTTGATGGATGCACATGATCAGCTTTGGAATGATGATGAGAGCTGATGATCTGAAGCTGAGGTATCACAATCATTGCACTAGTGTCCAATACTGGAATCAAAAAAGGAGGTGCAAGATCTCCTTGGCCGAAGCTGATGCCCATCCATTTCCTTTGTTTGAGTGGCTCTTGGCAACTCTGGGTACAATTCATTCAGGTCATGCATGATGACATGACTGTAAAGGTTTCAAATTGGAAAAATAAGGAGGTTAAAATTGGTTAAAATTAAAATTGCCAATTTTAATTTTAACCAGTTTATGTATTAGTTTTAAAGGCAGGATAGGTTAAAATTAAAATTGGCAATTTTAATTTTAACCAATTTTAACCTCCAATA